GGTCCGTAACATTTGGTACCTCCCTAGCACCGTAAGCGAGCTCGTTTATTGCGCTATCTAAAGTAGTTACGTGGGGTTTTAGTGGTATTTAGAAACTTAGTTTTAGGGGGCGAATCCGGGTTTCTTCTACTACTAGCGATAACTATCCTTTAACGCCTATTAAATGGACCTAAGGATAGAGCCGGAAGTCAGAAGTTTTGTGAACAAATTTTGAGAGCCTCACGGCCCTTGGTTGGCGAGATATAACAAAAATTAGATATGGGCAAAAGGAGTTGTTCATTTACATGGCGGATGTTTAATCACATCCTCTTTCATTGAAGAGCTAGTTTCAAGTAAATTCGTGTTTCGATTCACATACATTTGATTCAATTACTCTATGGGAAACTGTCGGTAAGATAGCCCAAAGATCGTAACCATCACGGACAGGTGTAGAAATCCCAAACACACAAGACATGGAAATGAGAAGACAGGGGAAAAGAAGAAAATCATAAAATCATGGTAATCGTTCAGATCATATGTAGCTTTCAAATGTTTTCAATAAGTGTTATCAATGCCTTGATGCCCCTCACACTCAATGATGACGCTCACGCATCTCAACAACAGTGGTCCAACCCTCACAGCAAGATCGGCTCATGTTGTGGCCACACCAGCAACAGGTCACCTTGCGAGGTAGAAGAGGTGCAGGCCGTAGATCGGGTATGCCATGGGTAGGATGGGGAGCTGGGAACTGGCCGAACGGCAGCGATCGTGATCCTGTTAACTTGCGCATACCATTGTCGGGTTGCTTCTTTGAGCGGGACCCTCCCAGTTTGGAATCTGAGCCTAGACGCTCGGGGCAGGCGAGACGCGCATAGACTTCGGAGGGTAGATCGTGCCAGTACTTGCAGCGGCAACAGATGACGAAGATCTTGGCGATGGTTTGTGGGCTGTGGGCTGCTTTTGCTTTTTGGGATCTTCTTTTGAGAATGCTCATTGAAACTGGTCGGCTTTGGGTGCTGCTGGGTTGGGTGCTGGGTTGCATGCCGGGATGAATGCCAGACTGAGTGCCAGGTTGGGAGCTAGGTTGATAGCCGTACTGTATGCCGCGACAAGTATCGGGATGAGAGCCAGGCTGTTGGATAAGCTGAAAGACAGGCTGGTTGCTGAGTTGGGTGCTGGGTTGAATGAGTGGGCTAACGGGGGCTTCCTGTACGACTGGCACTTCAACGGCAGAGATCGAGGGAGTGGTATCCACGCGAGTCAGCGGGTTGCGACTGAATCCAGGAGATTCAGGTGCATCTTCGTCAGCAGTGTCATAATTAGAATGACCGTCATGGGAGGAGGTGTGTGAGGGAGTGCGGCTATGTCCACGTATGAACCCTCCAGGTCCTCCAACAACGGGGACATTTCCAGGGAGCTCGGTGGAAGTCCGAGAAGCTCGACGGGGAGATCTCGCAGGAACAGTGTGACTGCCATCTGAAAGGTCTTTAGATGTTCGATTGTTTTTCTCGCTGGGCGAAACACTACCTGTATGGAATGGAGATCTGACGGCTACCTGGAAAGGAGACGCCGGGATGTCTTTGAGCGTATCGGTTGACGTGGTTGGCATTCTCCGAATCTCAAGACTCCGTCTATCGCTCTTAACTGGGATCTGGGGCAGTTCAATCGACTGTGGGGTTTCTTGAAAGTTTTCCTTGAAACGACTTGAAGTTCTTTTGGGGGTGTGTGATGAAGCAATAGGCAATCGGCTTCTTCCCCGATCCTCGAGATGAAATTGAGCGGGGGATTGTAGTGGTTGGGATGGGTTCCCATGGTCAAGGTCTTGTGGTCTTGGAATCTTGGAATCATTCTGAGACGATTCATCCGTGTTTGTAGGACTCAGCGCAAGGGGGGACGACTTGTATGCTCGCGGGAAGGGATCCACTCGGCTCTTTCTAGCAAGTATTAGTGCTGGGTTGAGTGGTGGTGGATACGGCCTGGCACTGGATGGAATGGATGGATTGTCTGAAATTTCTGGAGGTGTTAACTCCTGCAACTGACGAGCCGTGGTAACTTGGGCGGGCAAATCAGGATGACCGAACGAGTGGAAGTTAGGCTGGCTCATACTTTGCGACGTTGGCATGCTCGTAGCCCTGACAGAACGGTCATGGCCAGTCACACGATCAAGAGAATTATCCACCGCAGGCAGACTCTTCCTGTCATGCTTCAGAGCTGCGGAAAACAAGTCCCTATCTAGATCGGCCGAGGCTGCTAGTGTCTCGCCGGTTCGAGCACCATTTCCAATCTTGGACCGACTACCGTTGGGGATTTGCTCCGACACTGACTGGCTAGCCTCGCGTCCATCCTTTGTCTTCCAGGCTTCAGCCATCTTCCAGTTCTCACGAAGATCATCAGACTTTGCCGAGGCGTGCAAACGGTTGTGCTGGGTTGGGTTGGATATTTTGTGCGAGGCGGATAGATTTAATGCGGTGCCATGCTTGGACTGTAGCTCTCGGGTGATGGCCGTTCCAAACCTTTCCGGTAGAGTTAAAGGCAGAGAGGGTGGGATTGTATCTGTCCTAAGCTGGCTGAACTCGGGAGACGGAAAGTCTTGCTCACTCGATTTGGAGTTCCGGCGTGATCGCCGGAATAGTGAGGACAGGCCACTTGACGATCTCGAACGCTCTGCATTTGCACTGGAGCTTCTACTTGAGCTGCTCACGGGTTGTTTCTTGGTCAGACGGCGAGAAGACCTTTCATGGACTCCGAGGTCGGCCTTGGATTGGGCATCCTCAAGCGCTAGCAACCGCTTCCCGAGTTCCTTTCTCTCGAGTTCCAGGCGCTTCGTGACACGCTTTTCCTTTTTTTGGGGTTGGTCCCAAGTTGGCGATTTGCAGATTTTATCTACATCTTCGTTGGGACGGCTGGGTGAGGGTATCATTTGTTGGGTCGGAGTATCATTTTCCATGGAGGCCCTGTTTGCGACTGATAGACTTGATCCAGGTGTACCGGTCGAGGGCAAACGTGAGTTAGAGTAGTAAGAGACCGAGCTAGGCCCGGTCTCATCGTACAAAGAGTGCCTCGCATGGGAAGTATTGTCGGTTGCCGCCTCATGTGCGAGAGCTTCGCGGGCGAGAAAGGGAACTGGAGGGACAAATTGGCCATTTTGACTTTGCCTTTTCTTGAAGGGGTCAAATGAAGTTCCTCCACTTTTTTATTGTGGTTCACTTACATCCATGGATTTGCTAAAGACGCGGTGGATGTGGCCCGAGATGGATGATCGTCGGGCCCTGCGGGGCGGATCGGTGGAGATGGCCTCCATTGGAGTTGAGTTTAAGCGAATGTCTGACATGAAAAGAAGCGAGTGACATTGAATTGGGAAGTCCAGAGATCGAGGGTTCGTGGATGAGGTGTGAGAAGTAAGTCGTAAGTCGTAAGTCGCAAGTCAAGTAGAAAAACAAAAACGAGGGACCAAGGCCCAAGGCCAAAGGAAAAAATCTACAAAGAGAAAAGAGAAAAAAAAAAGGAAGGAAAAAGGGAATAAGCAGCGTTAAACAGTCGAGAATCGAAGAAATTCCGAATGTGCTGGAATTGGCTGCAGCTAAAACTTCTAGAGCTATTCTTAGAATTGAATTTTTTTTTCTTTCTCATCTGATCTAGAGATTGATGTTGGGATAGATTGGTCAACTTGTAATTTCTATTCAATTAACCTGAAGGTGATAATAATCCAAATGAAAGAAAGAAGAAAAAAATTACAACCAGGAACAAACTCTTTGCTAAGAAACCAGCTTCAGTCCAATTTCAAACTCGATGAATTGTGAAACTGTCAGAGAGAATCCAAAAGTCCAAAGAGTCACACCCCTCTCCGCTTGGCATCAAAAATCCCAACTCTCACCTCTACATCTCCCTAAGAATCTGAAAATCCGACAAGACTCTGCACAATCAGTCTTAAAGCTATTACCTATTACTCGGTAATACAACCCCAGAGAATACAACGCCCAGAAGCTACACAATGTCCAATCACCTCCACAACGATTGCCCGCCAAGCTACGATGCATCACAACAATCTTGGGGGATGTCCGACACTCAGCCACAGACCGATGCTTCAGCCTCAGGCAACCCTCCATATCACAACTGGCAAGAAATAGTCCCAGACACAGCCACATTCCCACCTCCCCCAATCACCGGCTATCTAACCTCAGGCACGGGGAACGCCTCTGAAGATGACGCCCAACGGGCCCATGATTTCTGCGACTCCATACCCCTCTGGCTCCCAACTCAGCCCTCAACTGCTGTCTACCACGACGTTCAGACCTACGATCTTCGACCCGTGCAACCGGCCGAGCTGCGTGGCAATGTCTCGGCTGTTGCGCGTGGCCGCTGGCGTGGACACAGCGTTGACGGGAACGGGGATTGTGTCGTGCTTACCCAATTGCCCATGTACTTCCCTGCTGCGGATTCGCCGTTTGTGCGTGAGCTGAAGAAGACCATCTACTTTGAGATTAAGTTGGTGGCGCTGAGGGCGGGGCCAACACCAGAGGATTGTAGTGGAATCTCGATTGGGTATGCTGCGCAGCCTTATCCGTCGTGGAGATCGCCTGGTTGGGAACGAGGTGGGCTGGGGGTGTTTTCAGATGATGGATGTCGATTTGTGAATGATTCGTTTGGGGGCCGGGATTTTACCACGGTGTTCAAGGTGGGTGAGACGGTTGGGTTGGGAATGGAGTTTGAGCTGCCGGAGAATATTTACAGTGGGGATATAAAGAAGAAGAGATGCAAGGTGCAGATCTTCTTGACGCGGAATGGATGTCGATCTGGGGGTTGGGATCTGCATGAGGAGGTCGATGCGGATTCGGGGGGCGTTGAGGGCTTGGAAGGGGACTATGACCTCTATGGGGCGATTGGGTTGTTCGGTGGCGTCGATTTCGAGTCTTGTTTTGACCCTGCAGGATGGCTATGGAAGCCATGAACGTGTGACATTTGCCATTTTAAGGGCCGGGTCATAGGGCTACCCTTTTTGGGGGCTTTTTTTTTGGAGCTCATGGCTTACTACATGTGATTTTATCGTTTAAGTGGCTTGATAATACGAACCAAAGATCGGGTTGAATATGCGCTCAAATCGGAAACACCCGTCAAACATGGAACATACAACAGCCAACAAATCAACTAGCATCTGTCCTAAAATGGCACAGCCTATTTCAACGGCCAACGCCGAGGCGACATACCCTGCATTGCATAGCATAAACGAGATCCTGCACGTGTATTCTAGAACGATTCTTTTTTTGGAATTTCTTTTTTTTCTCACTTTTCTACAAAATTCCTGGTAACTGCAGTGCATTAGGGACCGGGGGGATGCACAAGGTGCAGTTCCGCTACCACGGCCCTATGTATGAGCAGGTGCATCTCTGCCGCTTTTCCGTATGGTCCTCGATCTATGCTAGCTGCATGAACGGTAGGAAATTGAGTTATTTGACATCAGGATGCGTCGAGGGCATTGCGATCTTTGTCTTTTTGCATGTGTAGATTTTGGCGTTGGGATACGAAGGTTTGGGTTCGAGTTCTTTGTATGCTTAGGTTTCTTCCTACACAGCTATATCCGTATGGCAGTAAAAAATAGAGATAGGATGAGCAAGATAGACATAGATGGTATGAGTGAGGAGAGTCCAGGTGAGGCTAATGCCAATAAATATACCACATGTAGCTAGACTTGACCTCGATAGTCCGTACAGCCAGCATACGGATTACACAGGAGTGATGCGCACGGTAATTGGATAAGCGCTCGGTGCTCGCAATATCTTACGAATCTGCGTTTGTTCATCCGTCTTTACAGTCCATAAGACGCGGTAAACAAGAGCCGCCGTGGCTCAGGCCGGACCGAGAGTTCACATTGATAAAAGCCATAGGGCAAGCCCATTTGATTGCATGACATTGCTGATGTAAATCTGACCGGAGAAGCCGGCTGTGTGTTCTCCCACGTTGAATATTTAACATTACAATACGTAATTTTTGAAATACAAAGCCAGTGGGGAACCGAGTTCGGTGATAATCCCGAGACTACCAGCCACCAAGCCCATAGTGCTGCAGCTAACCCACTAGAGAGCGGCTAAGAATGGCACGGATGTTCCCACCTTGGAGACCAGGAATACCCCGGCCAAGCTCCTATAGGGGAAATATGGCTCGATAGTAGCTCTAGCTATTACGTTTATCTATATATCTTTTCCGGTTGTCTGTTAAATGAGGATGAACCAGGTCAAGTCTATTTTGTTTTTTTTTGGGTTTTTTTTTGATGTTTTTTGAACTAGCTGAGGGGTAAATCAGAAATCACAATGGGGTTGTGTAGTATTCGATCCACTAAAGTTACGAATCCCCCCCACAGCCGATCTAAAATTACGAATAATAATAATACTCCGTATGCACCTCAAGGTACGGAGCATGTTATAGTTGAACTAGAGCTGAATGGGGTAACGGAATATCATCTCTTGAAATGGGTTTGGCTGAAGGGGAAATGTCTGATCGACTGCATGTCATCGCCCCTTTTTCCCGTGACAGTCGAGGATCCCGTTTAGCCCCCCCACCTGAGCATTTATTTGACAATCCCGGACTCACTTCGGGTCTATGCGTCAACCCACAACCCCCCCCCTCTCCCACTCTTTCACAAATCATAACATGGAAAAGGAAATAGAAATCCGGCCATTCCCGGCTGCCGGTGGAGTTGGAGCGGGTTCAATACATTACGGGGAGTCCGTGCAGCCCGAGATACGCGTCTGTTTCACTCAAGGCATGATCTGGCCACGGCCGGAGACCGTGGTTTAATCTGCACTTTTCAAAGAGTCCTCTTCGGCCGGGAGATTTAGAGAAATACCGCTAAATATACAAGGTACAGAATATGCATATGCAGAGAACCCAGATGGAACTGTTGCAGATAAGAAAAGAGAGAGAGAGAGAGAGAGAGAAACACTCCCATGCATTGCCACTTGTAGAACCCTATGAAAAGAACAGAGGTCTAAGCCATTTCTCAAAAGTACTAGATTGCGAGTTTTAACGATCACGACTAGAGAGATATCCATATTAGGCCTTTTGCAGATCTATTAATTCCATTTTCTCCGGCCGGGCCCCCCTTTCGCTAAGGCTGGAACGCCTTTAGACGCCAAAGCGACACTGGCGCGAAAGTCAGCGGTTGTTATCTGTGAAAGGAAGGAGTTGACTGGTGATGAGAGTGCCAATCTTGATCCTCGTTTCATGGGGGGATGTGTTTGAATTGAGCATATGCTACGGAGTACATATACCTGTTACTTACTTTGTATTGTGGGTGGTGTCTAGCAGCAGTATAGGAGGTAATAGTATAGGGATCATGGGAGATTGGATATTCCATATTAGATATGCCAATATGAGCTATATTCCAATATAATAATAAACTGAGCACGGTCCAGGTTCGCTTTCACTTTCACTTTCACTTTCACTTTCACGTTCACGTTCACGTTCATTCACTTTCCAGTACTCCGTACATAATCGTGACCGGGATATTTACCTTCACGCCACCGAGGCATCTGGTTGCCCTTCGGCATTAAACGCGCAATCAGGCGATCTGTCGACACTCGCTTTCTTTTTCCATTTCGCGAATTTCCTCCATTGCCCCCATGTCCCATTTTCTCATATCGTTACAAGCTCCTAACAATACGGAGTACAAAACTCCCATCTGAGCATACCGGGTATTGCCCCACTGTAAAGATGAACACGCCGTTACACGGGCACCTCAGCGATCGCCACCAGGATTACCCGTTTTTTTTGGTTTTTTTTTCACTTTATTGTTTTGCATTGCACACAACGTGTAATAAGCATCTGGCTCCAAATTACTTTGGTACACCTAGGCACTTTGTTCTTGTTGATCAATTTCATTTTACAATTTCGTTTTTGAAGGAAATGAAATAAACCCCCCCCCAAAAAAAACCAGAGAGTCTCATTAGCCCGGGTACTTTTGGCGGATCTTCTCTAGACTCCATTCGACTGCGGCCCACGCTAATTAGGAATGGTGTCTTGCCAGAAAGTCGCAATTGTTCCACAAATCACCTTTTTGTCAAAGCTATGGAACATTATCCAACACACTCCTAAGAGACAATAGATGACAATAGCGATATCTCAGATCTGTGTCCAGCTAGGAGTTCCGGTCGTCGCCTCCAATGACAGGTTCTTCGAGTTCCGAGGCAAAAGGCACCGTGCATGATCGGATATGTTCTCCCATTTGCATTGCTTTTGTGTTGCCATTTTGCCGACGATATACAAAGAAAAATAAATACATGGCATGTGTGGATTTCATGGTACCTGGAAACAAAGTACCTTTCGTAGGGTTGCCTTGCTTGGAAGAACCAAACGGCCAGGTATCCAATATGCATCTAACCCAAATGGTTGCCTATTATTATCCACGATCTTATGTTTTGGATCTTATTCTTACTGTAGACCAGGTAAATCACTAAACGAGTTAGTTTCATTAAAAAGGAAACCCCCCCCCCCCCCCCAAAAAAAACGCAAGAAAGGTACATGCATATGTTCCCCACAGGGTGAACATGTTGAGCATGCTGATCAAGCTGATCAAGCTGAACTTTCAGTTGATTGTGAATATTGACATCAGTAGACTCTGATGTATTCCACATGACATAGAAGACTATGTATTAACATCTCGAGGTATGTAAAATACGTAAAACAATACTCTGCATGGGCCTCCAAATTCCCCTCTCCACTCATAGACGGCCTCTAGATCCAGGGTCTCTGACGCACGAGGCAAAAACTACCTGCAGCACACTCAAAACGACAACCAAGACTGGGGCATAGCTTTTTTAGTTCGACTTTATTATTTATTTTTGTAGCATTTTAGGATTTTTTTAGGAAATTCGTTTTTGGATCTTTTGGATCAAAAATTATTCTACATTATCCTATTTATTTTGTTTAGTTCATCGCATGTGCTGCCGTTCTTTCCTACTTTAATCTCTCCATCCCTCAATCAAAGTACTCAACTCTTTTTCTTTTTTTCTTCTTCTATTTTCCTTTTGAACTGAAGGAAGCATTGTCTCCTTGACATTCGTTAAGACTTGGTTTGACTAAGCCTATAAAGGCAATTGACCACACCTGGTCAATAGGTAGAGCGCGTTGAATGCCTTATACCTCTTTCAAAAAGAGAATCATCCAAAAACTGGTTAGGCTTACGTCGGGCCAGTCAAGTTTCACACCATGGCCTTCCCCTTCATGCGAGCATTCGTCACACTCTTGTGAGTACATGTGAGGAGCTCAATCCGACCACTAGCTAACGAGTAGCCAGTCTCTATCGTTATACCCGGCTCGTGTTCAACTTATTCTCCTTTTGGTCATTCAAGCCAATCCCCCCACCGGAGAACCCCAAATTGACATCGCAAGATGTGACGGTGATCATTCCATCGTTGGAGGGGTGTGGCGATGAGCTGGTGGAGACGATACGGACAATTCTCGATAATCAACCCTTCGAATTGCTTCTGGTGACAATCGAGGCCAATCGGACCAAGGCTGAGCGGATGTTGAGCGCCATGCCCGCATCGAAATCTCGAATCCGTTTGTTCACAGTCAAGCATCCCAACAAGCGTCGTCAAATGACCGAAGCCATTCCTGAGGTCCGAACCGCCATTACCCTTCTCGCCGATGACGACGTGAGCTGGCCACGGACTCTGCTCCCCTGGATTCTGGCCCCCTTTGAAAAGGACGAGAAATATGGTGGGGTGGTGACCTGTCAGCGATTGCGCCGGGCGATTGCACCGAGCCTCTCACAGCGCCTCTGGGGTTTCCTGGGTGCCTTGTACCTAGAACGACGCAACTTTGACTGCGGCGCAACTACCCATGTGGACGGTGGACTTCCCTGCATGTCGGGACGGACGGTTGCGTATCGGACGCGAATTCTGCAGAATGAGGCCTTCACCTATGCCTTCACCAATGAGGAGTGGTGGTGGGGCAAGTACCAACTCAACGCCGACGATGATAACTTTATCACCCGTTGGATGGTCTCGCACGGATGGGAAACTTATATGCAGTACCACCCAGAGGCAGAGGTGCTGACAACTCTCGAGGACAACCCTCGTTTCTTGAAGCAATGCGCCCGCTGGTCAAGAAGTAATTGGCGGAGCAACCTTACTTCGATGTTTCACGAGAAGCACATTTGGCAGTGAGTGCAACATTTTTCCTTTCCTTGAGTTGTCTTGCCTGCTCTTTTACCTTTTACCTCCACCGCGGTGCCTTTGATCTTGATCGGGCCAAAATGAGTTCGAATCTAGGCGTAAGGTGTTGGTGCGACCTTGAGGAAACAAAGAAACCAAGAAACACCTTTTGCAGAATAGAGCTAACCTTTCTATAGTCGTCAGCCCTGGAGCGCTTATGCCGTTCACCTGACCACTTTGTCGCCGCCTGCCTTTTTAGGCGACATTTTACTAGTCTGGCTGTGCCACAAGGCGACTGGATCTTGGGGAGAGTCATTTCACGATCAATCTATGACTGTGCTCTATCTCTGGATCTTTACTAGCAAGTGGATTAAGCTGTTGGGTCATTATCTTCGCTATCCAGTTGATGTGCTGTTGCTACCAGTCTCCATCATCTTTGGTTATTTACACGGCGCAATCAAAATGTATGCTGTGATGACATTGAATGTGGTATGTTTAGTTCTTTTTTTCCCCCATCATCTTTCCTGTTTCTGTTTTCTGGGAGGTTCCCCCCCCCCCCCAATATCTGCATATTCGCCGAGTGTATCCCAGCGCTTTGATCGTCTCCCGCTTGCAGCTCGGTGTGCCCACTGCTCTCCCATTTTTCCGATTGTTTCAGATCAGTCATCTGCCTTCTGCCTTTTTGAGTCGAACGTTTTGCAAATTTTTTTTTAATGCGCCGAGCGCCGAGAGCTGAACTGACTGTGACTTTTTTCCAAAAAACAGACAACATGGGGTAGCCGTGATGGCGCCGATGATTACGATGCTGAGCGTATGAAGAAGCGGACGGATGCCGATCGAATGAAGCAACCGTACTATCCGCAATATCTCATTAAATGAATTATTCGGTATTTACCGAAGATCCATTGCCTGTTCTCTTTCCCTCGGGGTTCGGTCTTCCAGATCCCATTATACTGGGAACATGGGAGAACTTCTAGCCCATTGGCTTGGCCCTTTATATCATGACGAAACGCCGTTACGACATACGCTCTGCTTTGATTTTAGATCTGCCTTGACCTTATCCTTTTTTTCCAACCCCCGGCCATTTTTTCCTGTATCGCCAAGTTGTCAAGAGTGTGATACGAGCTTCGAAATGGCAGTGCTCTTCCTCTCCAACGTCAATCTTTAACTGATGAATGATATTACTTCATCGTGGGCATCTGCATCTTTACTTCTGCCCTCTATCTTTCTTCTCTTTGCACATGATTGCCTGGTTATCACAAAAACAAAATGGTGGGCTCGATTCATCGAGCCTTTTCCCCTTCTCTTCTTGTAAATTACAAAAGCATGGGCGGATGTCGTTTTGGAATTTTTCTGTGCTTGACTCTTTGCGTCTCAGTTTGCTTTTCAGCTTTGATTCCCCTGAGTTTTCTATGAGAGCTTTTTTTTCCTTTTTTTTCCCTTTTTTTTTCTTTTAGATGCATGGTGGTATCCTGAATTTTGTTCTTTCTTCTCATGTATTTTGATTTCCCAAAATGCAAATAATTTCTAATTGATTGGAAAATATTCATGCTATCCTGGGATTTAGATAATAGAACTCTTAGAGCTACTTCGAAGCAAAGGGTGCGTGTCATAGTTTCTAATTTTGATGCCATGCAGATCATCTGATCTAGAACGAGTTCAAAAAGGCTTGAATGTGGTAAGAAAATAGCGTCAAAGCAAGCTGAACATGGTCAATTTATAATAAGAAGCTAGACCAGGTACTCCGTGCTATGTACTCTTTTTCCCCTTTCGGATTTAGATGTGGCGCGTGTAGCGAGCCAAGACTTTCTGTGCCAAAATGTTCGAGTTCCAAACACTCCGACTTTGGGATCCATGAACCAATTGTCCCCATTCAACCCCTTCTTTCTCTACTATATTCCATTGCCAAGGGTTCTTCGTTTAAGATATGGTCGCCTTTGCTCACGTTGCGCTTCCGTCGCAGCTATCCGCTGTCGCCCGTCACTCCGTCTCGTTATGCCGGCACATCCACTCGTCTCCCTTCAGATCAGCTATTGCACACCCTATCACTGCCCACGGCCCTCCTCCTAAAGCTCCGGCTACCCCGTCGGTAGAGTTTAAGGAGCGTCTAAACTCGAGCGATGCAGAGCTCCCGGTCTCCGAGGGTGAAGCGTCACGACACAAACTCACTGCTGCGCTGAAGAAGCGGTTTTGGAAGGATGTCCATGTGCATGGAAAGTCAGGTATGAGCGGAACGAGCAGTGGCTGTATTTCTCATTGATTGGTCTAGCCCCCCGGGCAATACTCGCCGACTAACCCATTCACTTCTCTTATTAGACGAGTACCAAATCCTGCTTGACAAGCGACCCGTCAGAACTCCGGCGAAAGAAGTCCTATCTATTCCCTCCACAAAGCCTCACCTCGCTTACGCTGTTGCGCTGGAGTGGGATGTGATGGCCTCTGCCCAGCAGGCTCTCAAAAGTCACCTTATCCCCATGACATCCCTCGCGGCCCGCGCTACCGATATCGCCCGCGAAGATGCCGAGGGCAACGGCACCACCAGAAAACAGATTATCACAACTGCCATGCGTTACCTAGATACCGATACTCTACTCTGCTGGGAGCCCGAGCGACAAAGGCACGCGTTGGAACGAACGACGGCCGACGGAGAGCCCATCGAGTCTCTTCGCCAGATTCAAATGAGGGTCGCGGGGACCGTCATGAGTTTTTTGTCCACCAAGGTCTGGCCTGGCCTTGAAATTATCCCTATCCTCGATACCAACAGCATCCTTCCTCTCTCCCAACCGAAGGGTACGAAAGACACCATCTGTACCTGGGTTTCGGAACTGTCTGCGTATGACCTGGCTGGTCTTGAGCGGGCAATCCTCGCCTCCAAGAGTCTTCTCATCGCGGTCCGCCTAGTGGTGGAATGGAGTGAGAACTTCCGCCACATTCAGCGACCCGAAGTGAAGAAGTTCGGTATCGAGGAGGCAGCTGAGGCGTCGAGTCTGGAGGTGACCTGGCAGACTAAAATGTGGGGTGAAGTTGAGGATACTCACGATGTTGGCAAAGAAGACTTGAAGCGACAATTGGGTAGTGTTGTGATCTTGGTGAGTGGGGAGACCCGATAAACTACGGGCGTCTGTATTATGAGTATACTGTATGATAGATCTAGATGGCTTAGATGGCCCGTATAGCATGTATGGGCTTTGTATAAATGCGTATATCACAAGGAATTTTACCATCCTGAGTTCGCCATATTCTGTGCAACAAAAATGACTCGAGGGGTGCCCTCATGCCAAGGCGGGGATCAGCATCATTCGCCCCTCAAACAAGAGCCCGAGGACCTCCCCCCTTCCCCGAATTTCAGTTTCAAGTTCTCCTCCGTGAGCTGACAACCTTTGATGTATTGGATATAGTCCAGTGTCCGCTACAAGGATGTCTGATAAACCTGAAGGGTAAGTGTCCCCCTTCCAAGTTTAGCACTAGGAACTCTCGATCCATGGTTCATCATGCATCATGACAGCTGTGAGGCCCCGGGGAATACCTGTGCTTCAGTGCCTTGGTATATTTGTCCTGAGCCTGTGGCCTTCGAAGCAGTCACATGTGAATGGTGTATAAGGTGCACGGACTTTATACTGATATGCCACTGTCTTTCAGGCACAAACATAAACGCTCTCGAAGCTCAATAGCACTTGCGCTCCTCCACCGTGACAAGTCCAGGGGCGAAGATAGAGACCCCGATGACAACGGAGACACCAACTCCGTCGCTTCCGCCTCCTCAAGCCCCGGCTCGTTGAAACACACCCGCAGCAGTAGCCGCCACAGCCGTCGCAAACAAGGCCAGGACTCGAGTCCGCCACCAGCCATTCAAGAATCCGCCGAGGATATGGATGCAGTCGAAGACCTGCCTTCCTTGAACCAAGTGGAGACTGATAGCACGTCACTCGAGCAGTCCGTTCGCACCTTTCGTCTCTTCGAGATCTTGCGCAGCGGCGATACCACCGCCATCTTCAATGCGATTAAGGAGACGACCGACCCACAGGGCGTGAGTTCTCTTAACGGCACGACAGTCCTTCATTTGGCTCTGCAGTGCGCCGAGCCTCAGGTCGTAGAATATGTGCTGTCCGCCGCAGAGGACCTCGATATCAACTCGCGAGATAGGGATGGAAACACGCCACTTCACATTGCCGCTCAACTGGGGCGGGGTCCGCTCGTTCGCGAATTGCTGAACCGTCTGTCTATCAACGATGCGATTGTTAACTACCGAGGTCAGACGGCTCTCGATTTAGCCCGCACCCCTGAAATTTTCCAGCAACTTCAGCTTGCGCGGTCTCTCTTCATTGACACTAAGAACCAGGAAATTCAGGCTTTGATTGGTCACTCTGATTACAAGGGCTTGGAGGCCTTGCTCGAGGAACCTCGAGTGGAGGGCATTATGGATGTGAACAGCTACGACCTGGTTACCGACCCGACGACAGCCCATTTCGGTGGCACGCTTCTGCATGAAGGTGCTAGAAATAAAGATACGCAGCTCATTGAAATCCTCCTGACACATGGCGCTGATCCCTTTCGTCGCGACAAGAAGGGAAAGCTACCGCAGGATGTTACGAAAGATGATAAAATCCGCGCTCTCTTGAGAAGATCACCCGCTGCTGTTATTGCTCAGCGCGGTATTCAGGAAAGAGCTATTCTCGGAAATAGTAATGCACAGGGCCTTGCCGGGCGCGGTTCGGTTGGTGATGCACCGCTTGCAGGCAAGGATGCCCGCGAGATGAGAGGTTACCTCAAGAAATGGACGAATTACACGACGGGGTACAAATTACGCTGGTTTGTTCTAGAGGATGGAGTTCTGAGTTATTACAAACACCAAGGTAAGTCAAATATCTCGTCTGCCTGGTCATCGCCCCTCGTGCCATCGGCCCCTAATATCCTGCTCTATAGATGATGCAGGCTCTGCCTGTCGCGGTGCGATCAACATGAAAATCGCTAGACTTAGCATGGATGCGCAGGACAAGACGCGCTTTGAGATCCACGGCAAATCGTCGGTCAAATACCACCTCAAGGCCAATCATGTTGTGGAGGCAAAACGCTGGTTCTGGTCCCTCAACAATGCCATTCAGTGGGCCAAGGATGAAGCGAAGGAGGAGGAGCGTCAGCGGTCAAAGAATGCTGAGGTTCTTCGCCAGGCTAAGATGGATCAGACAGAAGGACGCCCTACGGATGCACCATCGGAGTCTGGCCTTTCTCACAAGCCCAGCACAAAAGGTCTCGCTGCTCCGTCTTTAGGCGGCGGTAGTAACAGCGGCACAAGACTCAGCAAATACACATCCCGCACGACTCTCGATACTGCAGCCGGGGACGAGGATAGTTCCGCTTATGGCGGTTCCTATGATCAAGTCCTTGCTCCAAACGACATGAACCGAGCAATCTGTCATATAACATCTGCGCCGGATGGAGAGGGCGAGGATGAAGAATTTATCGACTATGGTTCAAGCCACGAGAATGAGATGCCAGCCGCTGATAAGGATGCTCTCAATATCACCGCACAATCCGCGAGGCTTCAGTTGGATCTTCTTGCAAATGTGGCTGCCTCACTACAAGCCGAGAAGTCTAGGAACCCGGAAATGACCATTGCGGATCCAGCCCTCGAACAGGCCCTCCGCGCCTATGAAGCTGCAGTCAGCAGCCTCAAGGATCTAGTTCAGAATCTGCTCAAGATCTCACGGGACCGAGACTCCTATTGGCAGTCCCGTCTCAGTAGAGAGGAGTCCATTCGTCAGATGTGGGAAGAAAGCATGGCCCGTGTGGCTCGCGAGCACGAGGAGCTGCAATCCAAGATGGGCGAGTCTGAAGAGAAGCGGAAGCGGACCAAGCGAGCTCTGAAGGAAGCCCTGGAGAGCGCAGCAGGTAGTAGCCGTTCTATCGCCGGTGGGACACCCCGTTTGGTAACAGATAGTCAGAATCTTGAGGTTAGTCAAACTGAAGCCGGGGTTACCGAGACGATGAATGAAGCAGACCAGTCTACACACCAACTTTCCACGATACCCGCACTCAGTCGCAACCCATCGACCTACTCCAAGCTCAGCAGTCTCTGCGGTTCGGAATCGGACGGAGAAGAATTCTTCGATGCTATTGATGCCGGTGAAATCGAGGTTGAGGATTTCAACAACGCCGAGGAGAACGATACGAAACAACCTAAAGATGAAAGTGCTGAGCTTCGGGCTGTGAAAAGTATCATCATTGCACCCTCCTTCAAGGGCTATGAAGATCCCGTTAGAGAGCGACTTAAGATGGATGCTGATGATCGGCCAAAGGTCTCTTTATGGGTAAGCTATGGTGTATACTTCTTTCTTTGTCAGTGCTAACTCCCCCGTTTTAGAGTATTCTAAAATCTATGATTGGGAAGGACATGACGAAGATGACGCTCCCGGTGTCCTTCAACGAACCAACCTCACTACTTCAGCGAGTGGCTGAGGATCTTGAATATACTGACCTCCTTGACATCGCTGCTGGTCGGACCGATTCAATGGAACGCCTAGTCTACGTCGCCTCCTACGCCGCAAGTGAGTATGCTTCGACCATCGGCCGTGTCGCAAAGCCATTCAACCCCCTTCTGGGTGAAACTTTCGAGTACGTGCGTCCGGACAAGGGCTATCGATTCTTCGTGGAGCAAGTCAGCCACCACCCGCCGATTGGAGCTGCGTGGGCCGAGTCGCCCAAATGGGATTACTGGGTAAGTGCATCCAATTTCGTAACCGAATGTCTGTTATCAGATCTAAACTAACAAGAACTGCGTAATCAGGGTGAATCCTCCCTCAAGTCCAAGTTTTACGGCAAATCATTCGATATCAACCTGCTGGGCACATGGTTCCTGAAGCTGCGACCTTCCTCCGGCGGAGAGGAACTCTATACCTGGAAGAAAGTGACCTCATCGGTCATCGGCATCATCACTGGTAACCCCACAGTAGACAACTATGGTCTGATGGAAATCAAGAATTGGACCACCGGCGAAATCTGCTACCTCGACTTCAAGCCCCGTGGCTGGAAGGCCTCATCGGCCTACCAGGTGACAGGAAAGGTCGTCGACAGCAAAGGCTCACCCAAGTGGAGCATCGGTGGTCGCTGGAATGATAAGATCTACGCCCGTCACACCCCCGGCTTTGAGGCACCTGTCTCCGGCCAGGATCCCGAGTCTGCCAAGACCTTTTTGGTCTGGCAGGCTCATGCTCGTCCTACTGGTGTACCTTTCAACCTGACTCCCTTCGTCATCACGCTCAATGCTCTCCCCGAGAGCTTGAGGGAGTGGCTACCTCCTACTGATACCAGGCTGCGACCCGATCAGCGTGCTATGGAAGATGGTAAATATGATATGGCTGCCGAGGAGAAACACCGAGTTGAAGAGAAGCAGCGTGCCAAGCGTAGAGAACGCGATACCAACGGCGAAGTCTACGCGCCGCAGTGGTTTATCCGTGACAAGTGTCCTGTTACTGGAGAGGAGTTCTGGGCTCATAATGGAAAATACTGGGAGTCCAGAGATGCGCAGGATTGGAGTCGATCCGAGGATATCTTCTGAGAGGCACATGACTTGTTATTTTGGCTTGACTGCTTTGCACAAGACTCTCAATTTTTAACAAATGACCGAATGAATTCTGAAAAGCTTTCTCGTGGACATGGGCTTGACGGAATAAAATCATACAGTTTATGATATGATATTCGTAAAACATGCCCAACTAATACAATAAACCTGACAACTCCAAGCCAAAGTAGAAGATATCTTCGTTTCATCGACGGTCGTTATCAGTCACGTGTGTCGCCGCAAAAACATCCCCAGAGCTATCCGTGGTCTGATCAGTTCCCCTCCACAACCAATTGACATCGCAATGACAGGATACACTTGTGTCCAGTGTCTACAGGTTCTCCGTCAAGGGGTTCGGGCCTCAGCTCCTCAGGCTCGCCTGCAGAGCCTCGCTACCGCGCGGAGAAGAAGCCCCATCTCTCCGTCTTTCATCCGCAGCTTTGGCTCGCAACGGAACAGTCAATCGCTGGGCAGCTCCCCAGAGCAGCCTAAACACACACACAGCCAGTCTTGCTGTGCTCCCAAGTCATCACCTTCGTCCATTGCCCAGCGGGCAGCTCACACGGCAACCGGGGCCTCCGTCAACCCTCAGGCCGTCCTGAAACCCGACAACCTGTTCCACTCTTTCTCGAACTCGCCCTCGCCAGCACTCCGCAAACGCGCCGAGTTTATCAAGCAAAATGCCTTCTGCCCCCACCCCAGCCACCAGCAGACCCGCGCGGCCGTCTCGCCGCACGACCCTGAAGCCAGAAAAACCACCGATGATGCGAACCTGCCCCCGGCCCATTCGCACTTCGAGTGCCCCGACTGCGGTGTGCCAGTCTACTGCTCCGAGGGCCATTGGATGGACGACTTCGAGGCTCACCTCGAGATCTGTGACACTCTGCGCCAGATCAATGAGGACGACCACGACCTGAACTCCGGCCGCTTCTTCCCTGAATTTCATTACCCCGGTCCTCAGGATGATAACTTCGTTATCAACATGACAAACTGGGACACATACCTGTACACCCGTGAATTCGCGGCTATCAACGATGACCGCTCCATGCGTCAGGTTACCCGCATGCTCACCTACCCCCAGACAATTGGCAGTGTCTTGCACGAGCTCAGCCCCTACAGTGTTCGTTCCGGTGGACGGCTCACGCCGGAGGGATTAAAGAGTCTTAGTGGTGAGTCCCGACTCTATTCATCAGCAGAGGACTACTCGCAATCTTTCCATCCAGCAAACTAACCCATCGCCAGCTCTCCGCTACTCTCTCCACCCCCCTAAAACCGGCGAAGGCATCGACGTCAAAGGCCTCCGTCTGAAAGCGCCCCCGGTGCGGATCTTCATCCTAGGCGCCCGCGCAGAGTCCTCCCTTCCCCGCGATGTCTGGCTGCAGCTGCAGTATATGTACCCGCGCGCCCTGTTGCACCTAATCTTCATCGGGCCGGAGAGCATGGCGAATCGCGATGGAGAGTATCCGCTTCCCGAGCGCACACCTGAGAACCCCTTCGGCGGCATCGTCGAGGACAGACTCGGTGGCCAGATGAAGATCACTACTTACGTGGACTACTTCCATACCATGAATAAGGCCCAGTATTTCGGTCCCTTCGATCCTTACCTGGATTGCTTCATGCTCTTCCACCCCGGTCTGGGCCACCCGGCTAGCTCGCATGAGTGGGAGGAGACGTTGCCTCAGTTGCTCGAGACTAAGGTTCCTATTATCTGTACTGGGTATACGCAGTGGGACCTGGAGCGTGATATTAACTGGGTGAGTGAGAAATGCCGTGGGGAGTTTGATGTGCTTCTTGAACCCGGGGAGAACATTTTCCGCAGTCTGCGCTGGGATCTGAATGATCAGGATCCTCATGATGTTTCATGTGGAAACTGGGGATTGTGGGCCTTCCGAGGCAAGAGGTATGTGGTATCCTTTGCTGAGTGAAGAGATTTTAGCTAACTTGCTCGACAGATACGAGGCTGCTTTTTCCAAAGAGGAGTAGGCTAGTTGTAGTTCTCCTTTCTGTACGATAGTTTCATGGTGCCCGTTCTTGGGGTCGTTGTAGTAGATAAGATCAGTTTCAGTTCATTCTCAACTTGTTCACGATGATCGATGCGCTTGATTCAGCCAGTTCTTTTTGTCAGGCATACGCCGTAAATAAAGCCACAGCTAAGCTTTCGTCCAGAAGCTCGAAACTCATATTAGATGTCAAGACTATACACTTCGGCCACCATTGAAGATGACAGAAAAAGTGAAAATTGAAATGTAGCCATAATGAGATGTATGTCAATTGCATAAAAAAAAGTAAGCTCGTTAGTCTTACACTCGTTAAGTAACAGTGATATGACATCCAAGAGTAAAGATGCAAGCATCAATATGGAAAAAGAATCCAAAGTCAACCAAGACAGACAGGAAGTAGCATGAAGATCAAAAAGATCAATCAAAAAAAAAAGCTTGGATGAGATCAAAAGGGAAAAGAGAAGGGTATAAACATCAGAAACTGAACATCGGAAAATCGGAAGACACGTCAAGACTACCGTAACCAGAAAGTAAGAAGGTTAGAAAACGGTATGTCAGGAAGAAAGAATATGTAGAGTAAAATATATCCCAACAGTGAAACATAGGAGGGATCAAGTGGGGGAACCATTCTAGATGGTCGAAGCAGTCCAGTACCAATGTTGGATGCTATGCGACAGAAAGCCGACACCAAGATCGGAGTGACTTGAGCATTCACTCTTTCAAACGATCCAATTGAATTTAAATCACAAGAAGTCCGGCAATGGCAGCTACGCCAGCAGCCATGAAGGCAGGGAGGTGGATTGAGGCAGCACCGGCAACAGCAGGGGCAGAAGGAGTAGCCCAGGCACTCCCACCAGCCGGGGTGCTGCTAGCCTTGATCAGGCGGGTGGAGGAGCTGGCAATACGGCTCATAGAAGGAGTAGAACTGGAGGAAGGAGTGCTAGTGACGACAGGTGTCCAGGTTGACGAGGAGATTTCAGTCGCAGTTGAGGTTGAGGTGGGAGTCGAGGTAGACGACGGGGGAGGAGTGTAGCCAGAAGGCACCAGAGTGATGGTCTGAGTGACACAGTCGGCTGTGGTAGATTCAGCGGCGAACGCGACGGGCGCGAGGGCCGAGAGGAAGAGGAGAGCCTTGGTGAACTGCATTGTTGATGTTTGGTTTTGAAGCTGTTGTGATATTGGGAATTGAGTATTGAGAATTCCGAATTGCGCAGATAGTATAATTTGAGTCCAAAAGAGTGAGCGCAGCTGATTAAAGAATGTAATAGCTGTGAGAACCAAAGAGTGACACTGTTTCGAACAGGAGAAATTGCAACTTCAAGGGAAAGGGGAGTTTTCAAGGCGCTTATACACATTACCCCCTAGAGCCCCACCCAGCTCACCGCCACTACCTGTACCGCCTACCTAAAATGGGAGAGGAAGCCCACGCCCCACTAGATTGGAATTCATGGGGGTTTTAACCGGCAGTATATTATATAAGCATGGTGGTGTGGGGCCAGGGGTGTAGATACTATGTTGTACGGAGTACTGTATCGCTTGGGGTACGGAATGGGGATCAAGGCACCAAGGCTCTCTATTTCTCATCCAAAAAGAGATCTAAAAAAGACACACAAAATGTGTCCATACATATAGCACCCCTAGTATCTCTTCTATGGCCAACTTCAAAGACGAAGAAGGGGATGAATCTATCAAATCGTGACCAAAGATGATCTAATGTAGCCATTACAATCGATCCAAGACTACAGTTGATATTCTCCTTATCCCTACAAAATACAGCTTCAGGTCCAATTCAATATCGCCTTTACATTATTATCAGAAGCCAAGCGCTTATGGATATAGACAACACTGTTGTACAGGCCCAAGGGCAAGTTCTCAAACCAAGGTATCAAAGTCACAAAGCAAATATCCATCCCAATCATGTTTTGGCATTAAGGCTGGTCATCAACACAACCCAGGTAGAGCCGTAATAGCCCAACAGTCAGAAAGCAAAAAAGGAGAAAGCAAAAGCATAGTGGTCAGCATTTAAAATCCCCAGACGGCGGCCACTACCACGGCAACAGTCACCCAGTACCCGCTAGCATGTAGAACCATCGCGACTGGCCCGGATGCCGAGGAAGTGCCGGTCGAGCTTTCGTCAGCGGCAGTGGTACCGTTGGCCAAGGTGCCGTTGATATAGATGGTCTGAGTACCGTTCACATCGACCACGCGGACAAGACTGGAGTTCTTGGGCACGGTTCCGTTGAAGAGGGACTCGTAGTAGGTGCGGTTATTGTTGTTGTCGCAGCCACACTCCGAGTACTCCTGGCACACACAGACAATAGGAAGCGACTCGTTCTGGCGGTCATTGTCATTGTAGTAGTTGTAGTGTTGATTGTAGGGGTAAGCGTAGGCGCTGTATAGCAAAAGACCCGGTAAGAAGCCCAGTGCAGCTCCACCGAGAACGTAAGGGGCGATGCCTCCAGCGGACCGAGAGCCAGACCTGTAGGGAGTGCGCGCGCCGCCGGCATAATAGTTGCCTCCGCCGTAGGTTGCTCGAGTGCCAGAGCCGCCACTAGTTGCACCGCCGACATTGCTGCCTGAACCACTTCGACCGCTTCCACTGCTGCCACTTGAACCGGTGCGGCCTCCACTGCTTCCACTTGAGCCGGAAGAACCGGTGCGGCCTCCACTGCTTCCTCCGCTGCTGGATGAACCGCTGCTGCCACCTCGGCCTCCACCACCACCGCCGCCGCCGCCACGCCGTTTTTCGAGGGTTACAATATCTGAGGTTTCTTGGGTATAACCCAGGTCCAGTGAGTCAACATCTTCAAGATCGGTAGGCTCGATTTGAGGAACAGTGAGGGACGCAACTCTTGTAGAGAGTAAAAGGAGCGATGTCGCCCATGTGAACTTCATGGTAAGATTGAGAACTAGAATAGAAGGTCTTTAGGGGGTAAGATCAAGGAAAGTGAAAGATCGAAGTAACGAAGGGAGGAAGGGAAGACGGGAAATACCAATATGACGAAATTCTGATGAACTCCGACTCCTGAATTCGCTTTGGAGATCTGAGAATGAGTCGGAGTCCGAGTACTGAGATTTAAGCCAAATTCCAAAATACTCAGCCTCCATGGCCCACCCCCTTTGCCTAAATGCCTACAACATATGTTGTATATCCGAAGAGAGTGGATTATTGGACACTACCAAAGGAGAATCATATTCTTTTCTAGAACCCTACTTTCGAAAGGGATATACGATATTAAAATGGTCCAACTCCAAATGTATGGCGAGTACCTTGTTTCTCCTTGTTTCTTCATAGCCGGGGAGATCTTCTCAGGGTCTTACCCAGCCTCATTCTGTGCCCGACTAGTTATATGACCCAACCTCAATCTCATACCTTCGAAGCCCTGTCATTTGCGGGACTGATAGAAGTGAGTAGCACTAAAGTCGAAACTCTGGTCCGATAGATGTAGAGGGCGGTCTCCAAGAGTTGGTTAACTGAGCACTTGAGTATCCCTATTTCGTTTATCTCGATCAGATCATTCTAGTATGGTATTTCAAATGTATCAAATGATCAAATGATCAAATGATCAAATGATCAAATGATGAAGCTGATAGTTCATAGTGATGGTTAATAGCAACAGTGGGAGATCACCCGGTCGGGCACCCAACAGCTAACCTCCCCAAAGACAAAGCTACCTTCTCTCATAATTCCCCTCCCCCCACCTCAATTCACTTATTTTCCTACGGTCTCTCATGTCACGTCAAAGAGGTCTTTCAAATGCCTCTTCCACTTCCTCGCTCCCAGACCAGGTACATAAATCTGCTATCCCCAACGCCTCGGGAGACCGCTAATGCAATGCTAGGAACTGGGGAGCATGTACGATTACCTCGCCAAAGTCATCCTCCTAGGGCCAAGCGGTGCTGGAAAGTGAGTACTAACAATATCAATATGGTACATACAAGCTTAGGTCATCTGCTGACATCGGATTGAAATACAGGTCTTGTGTACTACACCGCTTCGTGAAAGATGAATGTACAACCACCCATAGACCCTTCCTCTACCTCTCTCTCTCTCTCTCTCCTCCTCTCTCTC